TAGGCATATGGATATTATCCTATCACTGACAGCATTGTACTTTAGGATAGATCTTGAAATGTTCTTTTTGACAATGAATGTGACACCACTCCTCTTCAATTTGTCACTCCCAGCATAACAGACCATATGATTGTTTGATTCAAAATGGCCAATATCAGTCTATTTCAGCTTACTAATGTCTAGGATATTGATCTTCAAGTGTTCCATTTCATTTCTGATGACTTTCAATTTTCTTCGATTCATACTTCGTAGATTCCATGCTCCGATTACTAATGGATATTTGCAGCTGTTTCTTCTCATTTTGTGCCATGCCGCATCAGCAAATGAAGGTCCTGAAAGCTTTATTCCAACCACGTCATTAAGGTCGACTCTACTTTGAGGAGGCAGCTCTTCCCCAGTCATATTTCGAGTGCCTTCCAACCTGAGAGGTTTATCTTTCAGTACTATATCAGACAATGTTCCACTGCTATCCCTCAGGTTTTCATTGGTTAATTTTTTTTTTTTTTTTGTGAAAGCAGACCACCAGGACCTTCTCTCTATTCTATCTTAGTCTGGAAGCTCCAGTGAAATCTGTCCACCATGGGTTACCCTGCTGGTATTTAAAATACCAGTGGCATAGCTTCCAACATCAAAGCAACATGCAAACCACCACAGTATGACAAACTGACAGACAAGCAGTGGTAAATGAGGATAGGGACCGTTTGTATCTTGGTCACTGCTATATCCCTAGAGCCCTGAAAAGGGGCTCTAGATGTTCAGTGTTTGTTGAATATATGAATGCTTACTATTTAATCCCTTGCATAATTATTTTGAGAATTTAATGGGTTCCAATCGTGTGTTATATTACTATTTATATCTTCAAATGTTAGTTTATCTGTTCAAATACACAATTTCTTATATTTTTTATGTTCCTCTGAAGGAGCCCTAGTGGTGCAGTGGTTGAGTGCTCAGAATGAAACAGATGTGTATGAATGAAAAAAGTCTTAAGGGTCAGCAGAAGGCAAACCAGTAAAGCAGGAAGATTATGTCAATAAAGAGAATGATTTGATGAAGGCGTGGGAGTAGGATATGCAGTAGGACTAAGGACAGTTGTAGCTGAAAGGAAGGAATTAATGCAAGAAACTGAACAAAAAAGATTGAACAATTTAGTGCTTGACAGTAGAGAATCAAGAACAGAGATGAAGAATGAGTTCAAAGTTTCAAGAATGGATGGACAGCAAAATGATAAGAGAGGGAGATGGTTTTGGTAAGAAAATTGAGCAAAAAGACCAAGTGCTCAGTTCTTAGACATGTTTATTTTGTGATGCTGTTAGGACACCCATATAAAGCTATTCAGCAGACAATCAAATGTAGTACTGATGCTCAAAGGAGAAATTATGACCATATAGTCAGGAACCACCTAAATGGATAAAAGAGTCAAATGCTTAAGAATGAAATAAATTTCCAAGAGCGAATGAAAGAGTGGAGAGAGCTAAGAACTGAGCCACCAGGTATACTAAAAACTATAGTTCTTACTATCAAACTTCTACTTCCAATAATGATGGATTAGGTCACTGGAACAAATCTTCCCACTAAAGACAACTAAAAAAGACGGACAGAATATAAAAACCATGTTTCAAAAGTATCAAAAATTTAAAAGATAGTGAAGAATAACGGGTGAAGACTGAGAAGGAAATGGGAATTCAGGGAAGTGAGTTATGCAGTAGAGGTGTCGTCAATCCACAGGGAAGGATGAGAGACTGAGCTATGATTTTCACAGCATTGTGTGGCTGGTGGGATAAAGCTGGAGTCCAGCATCCATCAAAGGAAGAACACTTATTTGGGTGGCCCAGAAAATACCAAACCCTAAAACTAGATTAAGGAGATCTCAAATTGCTAGTGCCCCCAGACATCCAACAGAAAAAAAACAAAAATTCTCTCTGGAGGAAGATAATACTGTCTTAGTGCTCAATATAGTTCTATAAATAATTTTTCAAATGCAACATCTAGCAAACCATTAAAAATAATCAGATTCATAAAGAAGCAAGACAACACAAATGAGAACTAGAAGAAATAGCAGACAACAGAAACAGATCTGAAGGGACACCAGATAATGAAATTATCAACCACAGACTAAATAATCACTATGCTTGCCATGTTCAAGTTGATATGAGCTAAGCTTGAAAAATTTGGCAGGAAAATGGAATCCAAAAAGTGTCATAGATGTGTAAAGTAATTAATAGAAATTGCATAACTAAAAAAATAAAATAATCAAAAGTAAGATCTCCCAGTCAGTCTACAGGCACTTTAAAACAAAAATGAGAATGCAAGGGGTCAGGGAAATTAGATTAATGGAAACAGAACAACCAGAATGAAAATAATGAGAATGTTCACACATTGTAAAGAACGTAACCAAAGTTACTGAACATCTGTGTAGAAATTGTTGAATGGGAACCTAATTCTTAAGGATAGCCCTCGTGTATTGCTGGTGGGAATGTAAAATAGTGCAGCTGCTGTGGAAAACAGCTTGGTAGTTCCTCAAAAAGTTAAATGTAGAATTACCTTATCACCTAGTAATTCTACTTTTAGGCATATACCCAAAAGAACTGAAACCAGGGACTTTTAAATGAAAGCAGATACTTGTACACCAATGATCACAGCAGCATTATTCATAATAGCCAAAAAGTGGAAATAACCTAAGTGTCCATCAACAGATGAATGCATAAACAATATGTGGTATATCCATACAATGGAGTATTATTCAGCCATAAAAAAGAAATGAAGCTCTGATACATGCTATAAAGTGCTTGAAAACATTAAGCCAAGTGAAAAAAGTCAGGCACAAAAGGGCAAATATTGTACGATTCCACTTACGTGAAATAGCTAGAATAGACAAATGCATGTTGTTGCTGTTAGTTGCCACCTACTCATGGCGATCCCATGTGTACAGAGTAGAACTGCACTCCTCAGGGTTTTCAAGGCTGTGACCTTTAGGAAGAAGATTGTCAGGCCTGACTTCCAAGATGCTTCTAGATGGGTTTGAACTACCAACCTTTCGGTTAGTAGTCCAGTGCTTAACCATTTACACCACCCAAGGACTCCAGACAAATTCACAGAAACAAAAAATTCAATTAGATGTTACCTGGGGCTGGAGGCCTGCTGGTGTAGTGGTTAAGAGCTATGGCTGCTAACCAAAAGGTCAGCAGTTCAAATCCACCAGCTGCTCCCTGGAAACCCTATGGGGCAGTTCTACTCTGTCCTATAGTGTTGCTATGAATCGGAATCAACTCAATGGCAACTGGTTTGGTGTTTTTGGTGGCGGGGGGCTGGAGGCAGGGGACGATGGGGAGTTAATTATACATTTAAAAATTGTTATAATGGCAATTTTTATGTTATGTATTTTTTACCATAAATAAATAGATAACACACATAAGGGAGCCCTCTGGGACAAAAAAGAATGGAGTACAGAAGTGTTTCTCAAAAGGTATTCCATGGCACATTAGGGGCTTCCTCCAAAGTGGGTTTAATGTTCAATTACATTGGGGAAATATTATATCCTCTGCCCCCTTTTGGAAATTCATAATGTGCCTTAGCATAGTAAAGAATGAATAATCTTAAAGAAACCTGTTCAACATTTTTCGTGAATTAATTTAACCATGGAACCATTTTCAGAGTAACACACTTTGGGAAATGATAGACTAGGGAGAGATGAGATACTCTGAGGCACTGAGAAGGGAAAATGAATGGGCTCCCATCCAACCCCTTCAATAAGGCAGAGTTAAGGTTGCCCATTTGTGTATTTAAGGGATGGAAGGACAGGTATGTGAAACTGAGAAGTATGAAAATGGTTTAGAACATTTTCATGTGGGGAACACAATAAGGAGTTGTCAGCCTCTAAGAGAAATCCTTATCTCTTAGACCTTCCCTGCCTCCCCTCCACCTTGGTTATGGATGATTCTGTAACTAAAATGAATTCTCTCTATGCCTCCATATTTTATCCTAAAAAACAAACAAAAACAGTAGCCCATAAAGAAACTGTGGAATAGATGGTCCAGGATAGAGAATGAGCACCCAGTTCATTCTTGATACCTTTCTCCTGCCCTTCAAATATAGGATATAAGGACAGGGGAGGCTACAGGAGCAATAGCGAGGAGTTAAAAAAACAACTCAAAACAAAATAATGACTATACTCCCTTTCATTTGTATAATACATGTACAAGCACTTTTACAAGACTGAATGGTCACATCATTCCATGCAATGGACCAAATTTACCTCCTAGCCCATTCTCACCCAGCCTCTTGACCTTTCCTTGGGATTGCCCCACCAACATGCTCTTTGCCTTGGGATTTGAGGAACAGTCCCCAGAACTCTCAGCAGTAATGGGAGGCCCTGCCATGGGTCAGTTACCCTGTCTGTTAGTCTGTCCTTCCATTTATATCAGGCCTTAGTCAGCTGAAGTCCCTAAGTGACGCAAAGGGTTAAGCGCCCACCTGCTAGCCAACCCAAACCTACCCAGAGGTGCCTCAGAAGAAAGGCCTGGCCTTCTGCTTCCAAAAGGTCACAGGGGTCACCGTGAGTAAGAAACGACTCCACACAAACTGGTTTTTTGTTTGTTTGTTTGTGGTTGGTTGGTCAGCTCTTTAGTGGGGAAGGTGGAGGAGATGGAGTAGTGAATTTTTGTCAAGTAGTGCTACCTCAGTCCAGGTAGGTAGCAGGTGGCCCCTGATAACCAGTCGGTCTCCATGTGTGACAGGGTAGCTGTCAGTATCAGAGAACCCTTGTCTGTCACACTGGCCCCCAGTGTCCCTGTCAGTCGGCCCCTTCAGTGTCTATGTCGGACAATCCCTGTCAGCCTGTCCATTCCTCAACATTTCCGTCAGCCTGTCAGTCCCTCAGTGTCCTCTCTTCCTGTGCAAGTAGCATTCGGGGAACGTGGCCACGTGTGGCCGCTGACAGAGGTCTTCACCCCCTCCCTGGCGCCTGTGAGCACCTTGCAGCCATTTCTGCCCTCCGGCCTCACCTTCCAAGTCGGAGAAGAGGCTGTCCCAGCTTCCAGGTCAGGCACAGGCAGCTCTCCTGTGCCGGAGGGCATGAAGCGGCCATACCGCTGCAAGGGCCACTGTGCTGCTCCTAACCCCGGAAGCCCGAGGCCGGCCTGCACGTTTCCCGCTTCTGCCATGTCTGGCCGTCGAGTGTGCGCAGCTGCGGGGCGGCGCGGGGGGGGGGGGGGGGAAGGGGCCTACCACGCCGCAAAGCTAGCCAATCAGGAAGCCAAATGATCCATGGACCACCCTCCTCCTCAAGAGAAAGCCAATGGGCGGGCCCAGAAGACTCCTGCAGGGGGCTGTTACGTTATTGGAGATGGGCTGTGCTACACCTCAGGCGTTTGTCTTGATTTTGGGCACGTTCTTATCTTTGTGGACAAAGAAGAGGTAGTAGCTTCTTTTACCTTGAAGCGTGGTTGTGACGCTTATACATGGTAGTTGATCTTGACTCAGCAGTTTTCGGGGCCCTCACCTACCCTCAGGCAGCCCTTTCCATCATCAAGCAGCTCTGAGACAATTCCGGAAGGGGCTGATCCCTATAACTTCTATACACTGGTACTAGGTCTGCATTCTGAAACTGCCTGGACAAATGTGTTACCCTTCCTCACAACAGTCTTTCAGAGGAAATGCCCCTGCCCCATGTCAGGAGTAGAGGGATGGAGGACTGCCAGCAATACAATGTGTGCCTCAGTCAAACAGTAGGTGCAACTAAACTACATTTCTAGGTGATTTATGGTCGACAAAGCACTTCCACATCTGTTATTTCATTTATCCTCCCAACAACCTGGTGGTGAATTAAGCAAGCAAAGCAGGGATTATTACCCTCATTGAATAGATGGAGGCAAGGTAAGTTCTAGAGAGTAGAAGTGATTTGACCAAAGTTACATAGCCAATTAATGGCAGAGCCAGAGTAGAACTGTGGACTCTACAACCTCTCCACGTGTCCACCACTTGCAAAGCATTTAGTTATTCATACAGTCTAAGTTCCAGCCAGAAGATTGGTATAAAGGGATGAAGGCTATGTTAACCAAACACAGAAAATAGCATTAAAATGCAAAGAATGTTTGAAATTATGTATATCAAAGTGTATTAAATGCATGGACGATGGTTGGAGAAATGGTAAACTTATCCACTCAACAAAGCGTTAATTAAACATGGTGTGCACACAACTATACTTGTCACCATAGAGATCACAGAAATGGATAAGGCATGAATCTAGCCTTCTAGGACGTCAGGATCTAATGAGAAAGAAAAAACCCATTGCCATCGAGTTGATTACGACTCATAGCAACCCTATAGGATGAAGTAGAACTGCCCCATAGGGTTTCCAAGGAGAGGCTGGTGGATTCAAACAGCCAGCCTTTTTGGTTAGCAGCCATAGCATGCTGTAGGTCTTAACCACTGTGCCACCAGGGCTCCTAGGAAGAAAAGGAGAGGTGCAAACACATACATAATGTTCTTAGCTGTTGTTGAGTGGATTCTGACTCATGGCAACCCCATGTGTGTCAGAGCAGAGCTGTGCATCATGGGGTTTTCAAGGCTGTGACCTTTTGGAAGCAGATCGCTAGGCCTGTCTTCCAGTATGCTTCTGGGTGGGTTCAAATCGCAAACCCTTAGGCTAGTAGTTAAGCACTTAACCATTTGCACTAACCAGGGACCATACCCATAATACCTGACAGTTAATGCCATGTGAAAAGCACAAACCAAGTGCTCTAAAAGATGAAGTAAAAAAATCTACCAACAGGGAGTGGGAGTGGCATTTGAGTTAGGACTTGAAGGGCGAGAAAACAGTTTCCCAAGGGAAGATGGAGGAAGCTGGTATTCCATGTGTGTGGAAGGTTGAGGAGCAAAGGTGCAGAGCTGAGGATAGTGACATAACTAACAAGACTGCAAGATTGTTTTTAAGGAAGGTGAGTTGGGGCAGAAGAGCACTGAGCAGCAGCTAAGGAGTGTGGATTTTACTTGGTAGGTGGGAGGACCGTGGAAAATTTGCAGAGGGGAGTGACACTAGCATAGTGGTGGTCCAAGCTGATTAATCTCTCAGGGGCATATGGGATAAATTGGATTAAAGGCAAGGGGGATTTACAACTTATCTTTCCATTAGTTCAGTAAGGCTTGCTGGATGAGGTAAGATTTCAGAAACTGCTTCCAGAGGTCCTTAAATGACACAGCAGTATTGTGTTTTAAATAGTAGTAAATGGTTAGAAACTTGGTTTGAATCCCAGCCCTGTGTGACCTTGGGGAAGTCACTTAACCTCTCTGTAAAACAGGGTTAATAAAGACCTACCTTACAGAATCATTGGGGGGATGAAACAAGATCATATATAGGAAAACAGTTGGTAAATTACAAAGTGGTACACATGTTGGTTCCTTCTACTGCCAGGGTTAAAATGACTTTCCGTGGACTCCCTACAGGCAGGGAGGTTGGGAATGGGAGCCTGACATTCATTCTCAGAGGCGCTCACCTTCCGGTCCTGGGCTGCAGCTGCTGTCAGACACCCTTCACAGGAGCAGATGGTGCTCACAGTTGGGACCCTGTCAGTGTCCAAGGACACCCAGGACCCTGCTGGGTTCCCACCTGCGAGCTCCCTTCCTAGACAGTGCACCTGTGCTTGAGCTTCTGGGGCCACCAGAGTCTGCCAAGAACAGGGCAGATCTGCAAATGAACAGGGAGCTATGATAAGGCCACAGCTTGATGAACGGAGGCTCTTAAAAACTTAAGAAATGAACAAATGTGTCTAGGGCAGTCAGGGGGTGCCAGGCACTGTACTAGGTGCTGCGGATACAGTAGGGAACAAAACAGACATGGTTTCTGCCCGCCTGAAGCTTCCAGTCTAGTGAGAGAGTCTAATAAACACTGAGTAAATTATTCCGTATTTTTAATGGCTATTGTGTTTTCTTTTTTAAAGTAAAGCTGTGGCATTTATTTAGGTCTAACTTCCATACAACAAAAAGCATAGATCGTATGCGTTCAAATGGATGAATTTTGACAGTTGCACACACTCATGTAACGACCACCAAAACAAGACACAGAACATTTCCAAAACCCCCGAAGTTCCCTTGTGAGTGCCTCCTCCCAATCTCTACCCACCACTGCTCTGATTTTTATCTCCATAGCTTAGCTTTCCTGTTCCTGGACTACATAGACATGAAATAATCTAGAATGTACTCCTTCATATCTGCTTCTTCTGCTCAGCTTTTGAGCTTCATCCATGTTGTGTCTATCAGTGGTAGTTCACTCCCTTTTAGTGCTGAATAGCGTTCTATTGTATGACTATACCACAATTTGTTCGATGATTTCCTTTTGGTAGACATTTGCGTTGTTTTCCAGTTTTTTTTAAAGGCTACTATAAACATTCTTGTACAAATCTTTTTTGTAGATATATGTTTTCATTTATCTTCACTAAATACCTAGGAATAGAATTGCTTTTGCTGGGTCCTAGAGAGATATATGTTTATAAGAGACTGCCAAACAGTTCTCCATAGGGATTGTACCATTCTGCACTCCAACCAGCAAAATATGAGAGTTCCAGTTGCTTCATATCGTTGCTGATGTTAGTATTCTCAAGCTTTTTTAGTTTTAACCATTCTCGTGAGTGTGTAGTGGTATTTCATTGTGGTTTATATTTGCATTTCCCTGACAATGAATGATGTTGAGCCTCATTTCAAAAGACTTATTGGCAATTTGTATATCTTATTTTGTGAAGTGCCTGTTCAAATCTTTTGCCATTTTTTTATTTGTAGGAGTCCTTTCTATATTCTGGATACAAGTCCTTCATCAGATATATGTATTGAAAATATTTTCCCATACTGTGACTTGCCTTTTCATTTTCTTAACAGTAGTTTTCAAAGAGCAGAGTGTTTTATTTTGATGAAGTCCCGTCTATCAATTTTTTTTCCTTTTAAGGTCAGTGCTACAACCTACACCAAGGTTGTACACATATTCTCCTAGGTTTTCTTCTAGAAACCTTATGGTTCTAACTTTTACATCTAAGCATGTGATCCTTCTTTCAATAAATTGTGTGTGTAAAATGAGGTAGGACTTGAGGTTCATTGTTATCTGCATGAGCATCTAATTAATGTTAAGCAGGAGCAGGCCTCAACCAATGACTGATGGAAATTGGGGTATAAATACCACAGCTCCCTCACTCATCAGGTAGGATAACTCTGAGGGCTGTGTAATACCCTGTTTTCCAGACTGTCCCAGTGGGATTAAGCTCCAGTTATTCATGATGGTAACTTGCTTCATAATGATCCTATTTTGGCTGCCTTCCCTTTCCTATTTCCCTCCCCTACCAACGTTTCCTAGGATCACCTCTCAAAGAAATTACTTATAGTAAAATCTTTGTCCTCGGGTGTCCTTCTGGGGAAACCCAAACTAACACTGACAAAAAAGACTGACAGTCCCTGCCCTCATGAACAGAGCTATAATATAGTTACATGCATGAAGATGGTACAAAAGGCATTCAGAGGAAGGAGAAGTCATTCTCTCATCCAAAGCAGACTCTCAATGCCTTGCTGACTAGCAGCAGGAAAACAATAGCATTTGTGGCCAGAACTAATGAATGACAGGTACCCAGAAGCTAACACATCTCTGTCTTAGGAGACTGTTGAAAGAAAAAACAAAACAAAACAAAAAAAACCTAGTCCCTAAAGCTAAAATATGATCATTCACTGGAAATCTTTTTTGATTCCAAATCCTTTTACTGTATAACTGACTGTTTCACAGGTGGCTAAAACGACACTGAGCGATGCTAGTTGCATGAATAGTCAGCGTCATCGTTGGAAGCAGCCTGCAGGACTGGTTTTGGAACCCTAGAAAGTCCCTTTCAAAGCAGATCAGGGACCCCATACATCTCCCTTTCCCTAGGATATTGAGTCAGCAAAGAAATGATGGCTTCAGTCTCCTTGGGTCCCCTAGCTGACAGGATGAGAGAGAAATGTGCACCTTGGCTCTGCCCGCTGTGTCTCTCAGCAATAGCTGGGGACCACACAGAGGTGTTGAGAATTGCAGGGCACTGTTGGTTCCTGTGGGGTTTCTCAGAAAAGCCCTGTTTGCACCAGTCAAACTGAATGCGGTGTCTCCATGTCAGGCCTAGGGATGCTGCATAAGGAGGCATGGTTCCATGGAACT